ACTTATAAGCATTTTGTACATCCCATATCAAAGTTGAAATGCAACAACTGGTAGGAATTACATTTGCTTTACATCATTTGATATTCCTATTCGTATCTTCTACTTTGAAAAATAGGCTCCTCTAGAGTAGCACTCTATATCCATAACTCAAACACATGAGTGAACCCATTTAAGGACATTGCAGGGTTGATTGGACAACTTGGAGAAGGTCGCATTCTCATCTTTAAAGGTTTTACCGAGCAGATAAGCATTCTATTCTCCATATGAGTAATATGAGATATTGCATGATCAGAAGAGTATGGTGCATGGTCTTATACTTCAAGACCTAGCTCCTCCATAGCTGCAGTGGTCTTTAATGCTGACTTGCTGGCAGGCGGGTTGTCAAGATGGATGACTGGCCTCAAATTGGGTCTTTTCCGAAACTCAACCATGAATTTTGCAGACTGTTATACATAATGATATTCCGGGAAATTAAATAAATATTATTATTATGAAAATCATACTTGAATCTGAGTTGTATTGCAAAACCATTGCAACAAAGCAACTAATAAAACAAACAAGAAACGTTGTACTGTAATAGGTGAATTAGATACTTTTTTCGGTTATACAAAAATCTTAGATATCACATTTTCATGAAAAAGTTGCCCCGGGTATTGTGATGTCATGCTACTATAGAAACCATAACTCTACCCGCATTTTATTATTTTTTCTGAAACTTTACAATCTTAGTTGCAATACTTCAAAGCACAATTTGTGAAAATTTGAAGACACTTGGTGCAGAATTGACAAAATGCCAGCACCAGTCCTGTTACTTTTGGAACACCCTGTATATTACAATTCAAACATGAAAACTCCCCAAAATTTTTTGAATATTCAACTTATGGTCTGCCATTACTACAGCCCTCTTGATGTCACATATTACTCGTATTACCAAGGGTAGTGTTGACGAATATACCCTGGGTAAAATATTGACTTTGTTCACAGTTCATAGAAGGCGTGAATACAGTCATGTTCGAATATAATTTACATAAAACATTTCTCATAAATATGTTTAGTAGTATAGTTTTTACGTGGGGTGAGGGTGGGGAAGTGGTTACAGACCTCTCCCTCCCAATTATTCTGTTACTACTCCCATCTAGGGCCTGGCATACTATATGCAGCCTTCATACATTCGCTAGATTAAGTAAGTGCCATGCTTTGAAGGGGCAGGATAGCACATTTTAAAAAGATGGAGCACCATATTGTGTCCCAGCTGAATGACTCTCAAATCTGCAAGTGTTTAGTAGTATTTTCTCTTAAGAGATTGTTGATATATCAATATCATGCAATAAAACAAAAGAACGAAAATGATCAGACTATGAGAAGGCTCATCTATAGTTGTTATTGTATTGTCATCACTACACATTCTGATACTCATAGCATCTTTCTGTCTCACCTGAAGGGCTGTGAAATAAAATGTCATGGTTTATCATGATGATCACTAGAAAGGATATGGCATTTCCCACCTGCTACACAGTAGATTTTTTCATGGCATATTCTGGTCTTTATCATTCAATTAAGTGTAACTGGTATAGTTGCTTCTTATTTGCATCCTTATTCATGAACTCATTCTAATCTTAAGGGACTCATGTTTTTCTACATTTGATAAGGTGATGTGCCACCACCCTCTTCTCCTATCAGGTTCGTTTATAGAATTTTGGATTTAATTATCACATAATCACTCTGCTGTTAGAAGTATCTTGAAAAACATGTATTTTCTGCCAGCTCCAGAAACAAAACAACCCATCAGAGAATCCATGAAATTTAGTATATTTCCTTAGGGCCCATATGGGCCCAGAGAGTAATATTGTCACAAGGAATAAACACATTTTCAATCCATCTCTCATGTGCATTTTAAAGATTACATATCTTTCATTTCATATATTTATTCCTTCAATCAATGTGTTAGGATAAGCACAGAATACAGCAAAGTGTAGTGCTGCCATGCTGGACAAACAAAAGAAGACTGATTAATATAAAAAACATTTATGTTAAGCCACAATGTCTTACACCAGCAAAACCAGATAAACCAATTGAAATAGAAGTTTAGACCCCATACTAAAACAATCAAAGACTATGAAGGAACCGACATCAGTCTTCTTCCACCTTGTCAAGAGCTTACTACAAAGCAATTATCGTGCATATGGCCCATATTGTAAACCCTGACATTCCAGCAGGACATGGGTATTGACTGGTATTCTCATACAAATGATTGTTGATATAGCACCAGGAGATGAATCAGAAAGACTCCAGAAGATGTATCTTATGAAATCCAGAACTCTGAAGATGAAATTGATACTAAATGCTGACTTGTTCCCCCCACACCTCCAAATTCTGTTACTACCCCCCCCCTCCCATATAACTATATACAGTATATTGAGATAACTAAGAAGACCCAGAAAATACCCAATTCTGTTACTAACCCAACCCCTCCTCATGCAATAACCATTGCTCTGAGTTGTACATTATTTACCAGAAAAAATATAATCACAGAAGTCCAATGTAAATGTATCTCAAGTCAAGTTTAACTCTGGTTTTATAGAGAATAGCAATCATCTACTCTAGTATGGGGGTGACGCCCAGTTTTGATTACTTGTGTAATTGTATGTTCTTTGACACTGACCAATCATGTAAGTTGTAATATCCCATATATTGAGATGAATATGAAGAAGACCCAGAAGATGTACCCCATGAAATCCAGATATATGTAGATGAGTTTCATACTTAAGGTTGATTAGCTCTGCCTCCTCCCAATTCTTTTACTAGCCCCCCTCTGTACCCCCCCCCCCCCCCATGCAATAACTATAACACTAAGATGTACATTATTTACTAGAAATGCTTGATATAAAATATAATCAAATAAGTCTAGTGTAAATGTATCTCAAAAGTCACGTTAAACTCTGTTTTTATAGAGTATAGCAATCATCTACTATTATGGGGGCGACGCCCACTTTTGATCACTCATGTAATTGTATGTTCTTTGACACTGACCAATCATGTAAATTGCAATATCCTTTATATTTAAACAAATGTTTGAACTGTACTGGTTATTTTGAGTGTGCTAAAATGTGCTGATATGTGTGGATTCAAAAAATAATCCATATTCTACATGATGTACATGTTCAGGTTTTGCAAAATTAAGGATATTTTGAACGAAAATTGTGGTTTCCATGACAACCATGAGTGACAGAGCATTGAAATTTTACATACTACCTCAGCATGATCCAATCAACTCCCCATAAAATTATTATGATGATTGAAGACTAACAGAATGATTTATTCAGTGATGATAAAGTACCCCCTGTAATTTTCCATTTTAGGGTCGAAAACACCAATTTGACAACTTTCGCCCCGGATATGGCACGTCAGACAAACATTTTCTGAAGTATCACATAAAAATACATAAGAAACAAGTAATTTCAATTTGTTCACGAACTAATACATTTTTGGGTGCTAGCTTACTACCTATAATGAGGTGATCCCACTTCAAAGAACTTATTCTGGAGAGATTTGCTTCATGATAAACGCACTGGAGAGATTTGCTTCATGATAAACGCACTGTTAACCCTAACCGTGGCAACTACGCTAATTGTAGTCGGACCATTAGAAAATAACATTTATTATAGGCAAACGCGCGCCGATTTCTGAAATTGCATAGATAATCGAAAAGCACACAATTGAATCTACATACACTGTTCGATTGCACCATCACATTGAACGTCGTGTGAAATCAGGTGATGTAACCCCCCCCCCCCCCCCCCCTATCACACCAAACTAGTTTTTACCCGTTCTTGCCAGTCCTACGAAAACGTCGTAAAACGGGCTCAATCTGGCTGTGGTCGGGAAATATGTCTAAAATAATTAGCTACTTTGTTCATAAACAGTCTTCAATACGTCCATCTCATTCGCAGTTCGTTCAGGTCGCACCACGTCGGTGTGCAACGTCGTATAACGCGTCCCTTAGTCTAGAAGGTCATCATGACCTGATTACAGAACGGTATGGTCGCCATCGAATTTTGAATCATTTCAAAATTCTAAAATCACCTTCCCGTCTGAGAACGTTCATGAAATTCATAAATAGTCCTTAGAAAGTTGCAGCTACGTTCATTCCGTTCGCACACAGTTTAAACCCAGTTTTGAAGAACGCACTGGCAACTTGTTTGGTGTGATACCTATATTTTTGCTAACTCGTTCATAAGCAGTCTTTAATACGTTCTTAATCAGTTTAAACCCGTTTGCAATTAGTTCTACCTCGTTCTCAATACGTCCTCAGACAGTTCAACTCGTTGTAAAAACGTCCCTAGTTGGATTGAAGTACGACGATTCCGTTCGTAGTACGTCCAGCTCGTCGTTAGTACGTTGTCTCTCGTTCTAATAGTAGAACGTGACGACCACGAGAGCATTTTGAGCATGTTCTAAGTTTTAGAGGACCTACCCATTCAAGCACGTTCGATGAAGTTTGTAAATAGACCCCAAACGGTTCTAAGTACGTCCAGTCCGTTCGTACACAGTTGAAGCCCGTTTTCGAGAACGTATTGAGAACTAGTTTGGTGTGATAGCAGGGTTAATACAATTTATGTAACTCGAATTTTTGGGGGATTCGAATTCCAACATGTTTCTTTATACAATAATCAGGGAATGAAATCAAATTTCCTTTATATTATACTCTTTATCTTTTAAAGAGCCATTGTTAATTCTGACTACCACTGAGTAAGCGAATAATTTTGGTAGCCTTTAAGCTCCATATCTTTACATTTAGAGGTGCAATTCATGTTTATTTTCTATCATCCGACTCTAATGTTTTAGTACAAAACACAATTATGTAATATTTAACTCCAGACGGTATAAATCAATTATGTTTCAGAATCCAATATGAAAAAATGTTAAATCCATACATTGTAAGTTGGATTCAAAAAAGAACAAGTTGTAAAGATACCTATCATTAGCGAGTTTGACTATACCTGTTACACATTGTACGAGTCCCAGGCACATAAACAACAACAGCAACTCGTGTACCAGTGTATTTGTCATCTCCGAAACTCGTTCATCGTAGCAGAAGCTCGCAAAATATTGTATTGGTCATCTCCGATGTCGGAACAACAGTTCGTAGTGAGTGTATGTGGGATGAATGTCCGTTGCTACTAATCCTGATCAATAGGAAGGTATCACTGAAAGGATTTTGTTGTCCAGATGGTATTACATTGTTGTTCTCTGTTAACACGTAGAGATATTATATATCAATCGGTGATTGATTTACAATGGAGTATATCATAATTCACCAACGTTTCAAGTGTCAGTTGTGAATAAATAATTTAGTTCAGATAAAGACAACTATGTTTAGATGTGCAAGGTCGTCTATTCTTAATGAGCTTTGATGATTTTTTCTTTATTGAGCCCAAGTCGACAAGAAACAATACCAAAGCGAATCAATAAAGGACAAACTTGCACAGATCAGATACCAATTCAAGATTCTTTTACGTGACGCAGTAAAACTGAGTAAAATCTAAGCAACGCGTCAACATCATGGTAACGTAAAGGGATAGTAAGAGACAGAAAAATTTGCAATTGCTAAATTGATATGTTTGCTAAGATTGCCATGCTTATTTTCCAACTCACCACTTGTGTCCGGATTATATTTTTGCACGAATTTGTTTTAATTTCGATATTATTTGGCGATAACACACCCCACGAAAGTTCTACTATTTTATCTATTAAATCCTCAATAACACATATTTCCATATTCTATCAGGTATCTGAAACAAGGACAAATCGGATATAAATAGGCAAATTAATTGCTTCCAATATTTTACGCACCATTTCTATCATATACTGCCACTTTAAGGGTAAGTAAGATATCCCATCCTATAAGTAATTGACGGCGATTTCTAATATAAAAGAAACATTAATGTTATCGAAGACTTATCAAACCATTGTCCGTAAACTAATTGCTTATTAAAAGAGCTATTAATATAATTAGTTTTAGCTTACAAATCGAACCGAGGGAAAAAAGATAAGATATGTACGCTTGACCACGATCGATTGAATGACGTTCAAGAATAAAGAGATGATTTCTGAATTGTAGGGATTCTCATCGGGGATAAGTAGGTTACCATGGCAATCTCTTCATTTAGAATCAGATATAGCCTTTGTAAGAAGGAGATGAAAAGAGTATCAGAACATGACGTGTACGGAAAAATTAAACCCATTGAAGAAAAAAAATCACAAATTCATTTGGGACAGAGGCATTCCGTTTGTAACATATTGCTGTTTTGTACAAAAAGTGCAATTGCAAATTATAGCAAAAATACTCATTTCTAATGCATTGACTTTAAGTTTTACATTTTTACATTGACAGTATAACCAGTTTCAAATGAAGCCTATTTTCTGTACAAGCTTTCACTTCACTTCCTTCCAAATGTTTGGCAACATCAACTGTCTCATCGGACTACGTGTTAAATAAAGCTCGTTTCTGTTATAGACAAGGTGCATTTTCATCTATTAGGTAGGCCACCCAAGGGAAAGATCAATACCCGGTGATTTCAGCGGGAAGTGGCGTTTCGTTCAGTGGATAAGCACAGTGACCTACAGGGGGCGCTATCACAAACAAGTACTGCACGAACCGATAAATCCCCGGGTATTGTAACGCCCTTGGGCCACCTAGACTGACTTCATGTAATTGCTAAAAATATTGCTTCAAACATAAACTGGCATAATCAGGGTTGTCAATCTTTTCTGGGGAGTACAGGTTGTGAGTCAATGTGAAAGCTTAATGGAAGAATTAGATTTTAAATCTTTGAAACCTTCACCAAACTAGCCTACTTGAATACAAAAAATCATTAAAAAACTCAACGAGTATTTTAATGCAGGCAGAGCTCATAAAAGAGTCCTTGCGACTGAGGCAGAGTGCCACTAAATATTGTCTCAAATAATGCAAATGAGGAGTGCAATCGCGGCAGCAGCAATTAACCTGCCAACGTTTGTGAAGTGTGCCCGAGCAGAGCTGGCACCAAAAGTGTACAAGTGCGCAGTGGCATTCCCCTGGGTGCTACTTGCCACACACAATATATCTCCACCCTCTGGCAAGTCACTTTGAGGCAAGGGCAATGATATGAATTTCTGCGTTGTTCTGATTGGTAGTTTCGAAGCAAGGATTGTCCCACTTGTTGATCTCCATTCCACCTTTGGGGTCGGATCACCCGATGCATTGCACCACAGAGGGTCGTCGTTTATCGGCATCAATACGGGCGCCAATACGGGTACATCGCATGCCATATCAGCTAACGATACCAGTTGGAAGTTAATGTTGTTTGGAGTTGTGCAGTTAGTTTGTACCTTAGCTAAGGACTTGATGCTCAGAAGGTCATCCCTTTTTGTTAGTAGCTTACGGAGCCACTTTAACTCGCAATTGCAGTGAATAGGGTTATCATAGATAAGCATGTAGCCTCTATTGTCTTCAAGCATCGTGCTCTTGATCACAGCCTCCATGCTTACCGGAATCGTCTCAATGTTATTCCCATTTAACTCCAGATAGGTCAAGACACCATCCCGTGGAAACATACTGCCATCAATGGTAGCAATGTCATTGTCGTATAACTCAACTCTTGTCAGAAATTTATTCTCCTTGAACATTCCATTTGGAATTTGTCTGATTTTGTTTCCAGGGGCACCAAAGTGAAGCATATGCTGAAAGGGGGCTAGCGTCCCTATTAACTCTTCAATCTTGTTTTTGCCTAGCGTCAGGTACCTTAAGGTGGTGATATGCTTGAAAGTTGTCAGATCCAAACGTTTGATCTGATTCGAATTAAGGTACAAAGTCACGAGGGTCGGGAGTGGACAATTAGATAAATCAATATCTGTTATATTATTGTAATCTAGCTTAATCAACCCCGAGACAGTCTTCTGCAAAAAGTCAATGTTTGTGATTTGATTTCTACTCAAATCGAGACTTGCCAGGTTGAATCCCTCAAATGAATCAGCAGGGAGGTTCAACGCCTTTCCATTGTCTGTCCAATCTAACCTGATTAGACCATCCTGCAAAGGTTTTAATGCTTTCACGAAGCCTGAGTCAAGATTACTATGGCCTATTCTAAGATAATCAATGTGGGAGTTTAGAAACGCTTCTTCATCAACAAATGAGAGATTTTCATTGTGTTCTATGTAAAGATCGCCCAGTTCCGGAAGATCTTCAAATGCATGCTTTCCAACGCTTCGTATCTTGTTAAAAGACAGTCTAAGTGACTTCAGTTTCTTCAAGTGTATGAACGCATTATCAGGGACAGTTTCAATGGCGTTGTGGGCTAGGTTCAAATCCTCTAAATTCACTATCAACGTAAAAGTATTCTGATGAATGGACTTCAGATTGTTTCCAAGCAGACTAAAGGTAGTGAGACGTGTTAAAAATTCAAATGTATCATCTGTAATGTCCTCCAAACCGCACTGGATGATATCAAGGCGGGTTATGTTGGCATAGTGAGCGAAATCATCCTTTTTGAGGTGTTTAATCTGGACGTCTTTCCTACATATGATCTGTAATCTATCAACGGACCATGTGACACCGGAATCAGCGGGCCAACCGGGCAAGGTGCTACTGCTACAGTAGATGCTGTTGCGAAACTCTGAACATGAACATCCTGTTGGACATGACGAAACGATGCAGACGGCGCTCAAAAGAACGACCAGCAACGTAAATACACCTGCGAATGTTGGTACTACAAAATTAAAAAACGTTGTTAAATTCCTTGGAACACTCGGAATAACAAATATTAATCAATGAGAAAAGCAAAACGGCAGACTCTTTGATATGCATAGAGAGTACACCATGCTCAGCACTATAGTATCGCCAATACACCCGACAATGTTTATGCTACAAGTCCAAAAAATTAGACAAAAAATATTTTTAAAAAGGTATATGTAACTACAGTATTTAACCAATACTGAATAGTGCAAGTCATGTTTGTTCAAAATAATTTTAGAAATATATTTGAACTTACCATTCGCCATGTTATTTTTATATCCGATGCCTCTTGCTTTTTGAAATATCAACACTGATATCTAACAAAAAGAACTGCTTAAGCAACTAATAAAAATGTCATGTTTTAATGAGGTTTTCATTAGTTTTCAAGTAATCTTTCAAGTAGTAGGATCAGGCCTATGTCAATGCATTTTATGTGCATTTTGACAACACTTGGATTAACATCAAGTACCTGGGGGGGGGGGGCTGACTGACATTGGATCATTGTACTTGCTATTGTATTCAAACTTAAGTTATCTTCTTAATTTTAGACAACACGTACAAAGGAAATATATTGATACTATTGGATTGAACTTGAATACTGCGTTTGCCAAAGTGTTGAGTATAAGGCCATAGTAATACAGTGTGTCTCTACAATTACGACACAGTTTGAGTGTAAACTTTGTGGACACCCTGTATGTTTAAATATGGGACGTTGCTATAGGCACTCTTAGTTTATTGAATTTTGTAAAAATGATAGTTTTAAACTTATATTCAAATGGGTTTGTTTGAGGACTTCACATTTGCATTTGGCTACCTATATCATTAAACAACAAAGATAGATTAGATTTTACACATTTATTTGTGTATTACTTTTTACAAATGACTTTTTTCTTACAAAATTGTTTTATACAAAATAAATCATTAGATCACTGCTTATACACATACATTGTATTTTATCATACAAAATGTCTCAATTTACAATGATCACTTTATCATTGTATAATAATAATATGATGCCCTGTTAAAAAGCCTTTACTGGCCTCATTCGTTTAGTAAAATTTAACATTCAACTCAAAAGTGCTCATTTTTGACTCTGCAAGTATTTTGTTTAGTATACAAGCAATAAATATTCATAATTTCATTAACAGCTTTATATAGCATCTTTAATCCAATGTAATCTATTTGATTCCTATATAATTCATTTAATAAAATTTTCAATTTGATACTATTATTTGTTAATCATAAATAATATAACAATATGATGATGTCATACAATATAATGATGTCATAAAACATAGGATGACATATATAAGAAGCATTAACCAAATACTATGAACACTTTGAAATGAAACCATTTTTTTAAGATGCAAGTTATAAATGAACATGTGTGCATCAATATACATATGTGCTATTACAAGGGGCCTCTTTATTTCAAGACCCCTTGGTGGCATTGTAAGTGCATATGCCTCTGGTGTATAGAAGCTCTTTTAGAGGTTTAGAGTTTGACTATGTACATTATTTACAAAACTCAATGTATCTAGGATATACATTAATAGAAAAACAAAGATGAACATATTGTATTATGTTCGAAGAAGATCCATAAATATAACTAAATTGGTAAATAAAAGCCTTAACTTGGCAGTATTGCTTGTCATACTATACCAAACAATCAAACACGAACCAACTTTAAAAAATGCCAGAGTAGTCAACGATTTTGGATTGCAAGAAAACTTTGTAGAACAGGTAGCTCTAGAAGTGACTACAATGCCATCTTTTGAAATGAAAGTTCTAAAATTTCTAACATACATCGACATGCACACATACGAAATTGTTAAAGCAACATTCACTAAAATTGAGACTTTTAATCCATTTTCCGAAATAAGAACCACAAGAATAATAATTAACTAAAATAATTGAGACTCCATAAAACATGTGTCCATTTTTACTTAAAATGAAATGAGCCAATGAAGAATTCTTCATAACAGTTCAAAAATTAACTTTAGGTATCATAATGATATTTGGCAGTTTTTATAATTAAATGATACCCTATAATATTACTTAGTTCTTATATAACTATCTATATAATCTTGATATTTATACAGAATTGAACGAGACACACTAAATGAAACAATGCTTTCATATCAACTAAATGCACACCATAAAAGAGCCAAAATTGTTCTAAAATATGGCTCATATATGCACTGCATGGACTATAGCTGAATGCAGAGTGGACACTTTGGCAGAAACACACAAACATATAAATAAGGCTATACATTGTAATAAGGCAGTTTGTTATTTAACAAATGGATCCAGTATTGCTTAGAATCCTCAGTTTTGAAATACTTCTCTTCTAAAAAAACATAAATATTCTGAGATATACTGTATCCAGTATCTACAAGAACTCCTCAGTATTAATTGTAATAGTTTTATAATTTACAGATATTTACATCATTTGTTAAATAAAAGATAGATTTAGAGTGGCGTTTTCTCCACTGACTGAGTTGTAGGCTTTTTACATCTATATACAATATGGACATGTGAAGTAATAAAGACTTATACAATATTGACTTGTACAATATGAGCTTCTACAATAAAGACATGGTTAGAAATGACAATTTAAGCTGTACATGGTAAGTTATGTTTCTATAGAATTAAGCAATGCCAAACAACCTCAATCAAATGACAGTTAACAAAAATACTAGTTTGTAAACTTTCAGGTGGTGGTTCATGATACGGTGAACAGCCACCAAGATTATTGCTGTTAATTTTAAAGAGACAGTGACATGCAAATCCACTGAGTAAATATGAATGAATAAGATTTCTAAAAATGCGCTCTGAAGTTGATTTGTCCTAGGGGCACTGAACCAAACATTAATCACACACTGTTGCAAATGTATGAAAAATGGTTGTTGCAGCTAACCCTGATTATTGCAAATTAAATCTCAATACTGGTCTAGTGCCAGTTCAAATAATCACATTTTAATTTGTTTTTAATTATTTTTTTCTAATCATTTCTAAAACTATAAGTGATATGTGCACACTTCCCAATAAGATCTTTATGTTGACCTTTTTTGTTGTTTGATAACTTTCAAACATCATCGAACATTTCTACATTGTCCAAAATTCAAATGCTTTTTGAAACTTTTTTCCCACTCAGGTACATGTATTGGGCTCAACATGTAATGTACTACTTGTTCAAGTTCTCTGATCCAGTCTCTGTACTGCACAATATTTGTGTACTTATTCGTCGATCGCTAGCCTCTAATATAAATTCATATATTAAGCTACATTTGTCTTATTGATAGGACAATACAATTGTTCCATTTCTGGCTGTTTCTACAGCAGTGTCAATACATCTCATCCCCATGGTAACTAGTGTTCGCTTATTTAGTATGGCAACACTTTTTAACTATGGCAACACAGTTGCTATATTTGAGACCAGATAATGTTGTTGCCATGGAGACTGAATTCTCTGCACAGCTCTGGTTAAGACTTGATAAACTGCATTATTTAGGCATATATAGTTGGTTGTTGTGGTAACAAACTACCTCAGTTGCAATGGTAACCGGAGAAGCAGGAATATTGTAGTTGCTATGGTGAGCAGATGCAGTCTATGATGAGAGTGAGCACTAGATATAAGCTGGTTTTGATCACTCTTTATTGTAGTCTCATTTTCATCAATTTCATTCTTGTCTTTGTCCTTTTCTTTTTCTGAAAAACAAAACAAAAATGAATAAATTATTATGAAATATCATTTGTAAATAACATGTTACACAATTACCAAACTGCCCAAGGAAGGTTACATAATATGAAGCATAATGATGCCTCTCTAAAATGAACAATGTTATAATTTATTTCAAACTTACGTGTTGTTGTGGTGGTAGGTATGGTAGTTGTGGAAGTGATAGGACGTGGGCGTCTGGTTGTAGGACGTTGTGGGGGAGTCGTAGGTGTAGGTGGTGCCTCTGTTACGATTGGTCCACCTGTTGGGGCATTCGCTGCAAAACACAAAAAGATGAAAATTAATTTTTATTTTATTGGTCTAGTGTACATGTCTTTTTCATTAATAGATGGCAGTGCAAAGAAAATATCAAAACTATCGATAAACTGACATTTTCATGACTTTTACGTTTTACATAGAAATCTGATGTGATTATTTTCATGATCTGGTTTTAGGTCTCAGTTTGAAACAAAATCATTTTTCTTTAAAAACCAAAAGGATGTATTATAAGCCACAAAATAATGACTTCCCCTGGTGTTAAAATAATCAACTGGTGGTGAATTAAATCAACTTCAAAATTTAATGTGATGAAGATGATAGATGGGTTCTTTCACCAAGACATATGAATAGGATGCAAAACCCCTTGAATCAAATAACATGCTTTGCCATATTTGTCCAAAGTCACATTTACTAGAGAAATGTGCTTGAAAAAACTAGAGCTATGTTGGTCACATTAGAATTATCCTAAATGTATATGTAATACTAATCTAAACATTAAGTACTTATCAAAACAGCCTTCAAGTAAATGCTGATTGCTTTGATATAATTTTAAAAGGGCATAAAAGTGAAATATTGTCACAGAATAATGAAAAAATAGTTGACTATAGAAAACCAGTCTGGAGCTATTGGGGCGTTAATATAATAGAAAAGCCTTTTTTGCAAAAAAACACATTTTTCAACTTTTCAAGATGGAACCGCAAATTGATGAATGGATCCCACCCCTATTTCATTCCTGTTCATTTGACAATATGTTTTAAGAAATTGATATGAATATGTCTGAAGATTGAGAATTGCAAAAATTTCATCAATGAGACTTTCATTAACATTATAGTTTCCTTCTTAAAGACCCATAAAAACATAATGTACCCAATTTCAATATTTACTGTTGAGACTTAAATGCAGCAGGTGGACTTCTTACAATATTTTCTCTGTTAAATTCCAGTAATCACAGCCTGTAGCAAAATATAATATCTGGACCACTTGATAATAACAACAAAATAGTCTATGGAAAAGACAGCACTTTTACGCCTCAACCACAACCCAATGCTATTATTTGCAAGCAAGTTTTTAATTAAATCTTGATTAATAATAAATTGTACATCCTGTGGATCCAGGTACAAAATTTGACCCTTTTCATTGAGCACAACTACAGCAGGGTTATGGAGTTTAATATTGGGGTCGATTTTCAAAGTTTCTTGGGATGCTCCCCAATGAGAGGGTTTTGTTATAAAAGCGTGTGCCAAAATTACCCCCTAAGTCTGAGTATATGGTTCAAGAATTATTATGACACTGAGATTCAGTTACATAG